GCGCGGGCGGCTGAGGGGAAGCGCGGGCGGGAGCGCGGTCTCCCAGGCGTCGGCCGGGTCCTCTAGGCCGCGCCTAGAGGCGACCCGTCTCGCTTGTTAGTTTTATGAAGGGGTCCGATGCCCGCGTGTGCAGTGGGAATGCGCTTCCAGAGCCGCGAGGAGGGAAAACCCAGGCGTGCCAAGCACAGAGCGTTGTGACAGTCGGGCAGCGTTGAAACATTAGTGACTTGGCTTACAGTTTTTATACAGTGAAATCCATTTACAGTGTGTCGCGGCTTTACGTGTTTTAAACTTCCGAGGAGAAAAAACAAAGCAAAACTGGCAACAGTGAACGTAGCAGAGAGGCAGTGCAGTTTTTGTGCCTAACGCAGTAGCCATCAAATTCAACGTCCTTGGACCGGGGAATATAGGGTGGTGAAGTAATCTGGCAAATTCTGACAAGCAAAATACGATCATGTTTAGTGTACTGTCTTGGTGGCTTTGGGGAAAGAAAGGGGAAAGAAAAAAAAGGTATGTTCGCCTTTTCACAGTCCTGTCAAACCAGACCCTGTCGGCTGAAAAATAAGGTGGAATTTTGCCATCTACTGGCGTTCTGCTGTAAATACAGCAGCAATTTAAATTACGGAGCTGAAAGCTATTTATCACGCTTGTCAGCGTTTATGGAAGCGTGTGGCTAAAAGAGGAATAGAATATGTCACCACTCTGCATTTAGGTTTATAATTAGGACAAAACGGAGACCAAGCAAGTGTGGTCCGTTTCGCAGAAGAAGTTTTAGAGAACCTTAAGCAAGATGGAAGCAATTTCAGCAGGGTAAACTATAGTGGGAAAGGGCACAAGAAGACATAGTATACCAACCAGAAAGTAGCAAGTAGCTTTGCACAGAGGCTATATTTAAAAATAAAATCATACTGCTGACTTAGAAGAATGAAGGTATCACCTTTGCGCTTTTCTTGTCCCAAGGTGGGCAAGGAAGGGAAAGCAGGAGAAGCCCAGATTCCCTACAGTAGCTTAGGGACAGAGATGGAAAAAAATGTGAGGGAAACAGTGACACCATGGACACAAATAAATAGTTTTCTGGGGGTATTTTTTTCAGTCATGGGATGATGTGGGTATTAATGAGAGTTTCCGTCATTGCTGTCTTTCTGCTTTTACCTTTCTGTGTTCACTCACAGGTTAGTTTGTCAGCTGAGAACCAACAGCCGTGACTGCTCTGCTGACAAAAAGTCAACGTATTGTCAGTAACACACTAGAGGAAGTTAACAAAGATGGAAGAGGGTTAAGGAAAAAAGAGGGAAAGGTACGCCAAAGAACTAGAAGGAGGGCGGCTGGGGCAGACAGAGTGTGTAGGATGGCTTCAGGGATGAGAAATCAATCATAAGAAGACAAAGCTATGCAAGACAGAAAAAAGGGGAAAGACCTATGAGATGGGCTGAGAAAGCAAGCTGAGGGAGAAAATGAGGGGAAAGAAACAGAAATAAAAACAATATGAAATTAGAAGTCTAAAAAAAAAAAGAAAAACGGGAAAGGAGACAAAGGAAAGGAGACAAAGAAAAGGAGAAATGCCACCTGTATGCCCATCAGATCTGATCAGCTAAAAGCCAAATGCACTAATTTAAACAGTTTTGGAAGTGACAGCTAAGAAAATATTAAGTAACAGATTTCCCTTTGAAACTGGGCTTTTCTGCATGTAGATAATGAGCCTCAGGCAGTTGTTTCACCTTGTGAAACAACTTTGTGCCAGCTTCCTTCCTAAAAAAAATCAGCCAGTTTTTCTTTGGCATTATCAGTAGGTGGATCATAGCCATTTTAAAATGTGATGTCATGGGATTGTAGTCACCAGTCCAGATCAGAAATAATACACAATGCTTTTCCCCAAAAGGGCTACACATGAATGTCACTAAAATGCTGTCCTGTTGTTTGTTTTCTTAGCATGCTCGTTTTTTTTCTAGGAAATAAGCAGAAATTAATACAGAGAAAAATATTTATATAACATAAGCAGTACAAATTGGCCCAAGAACAACTTTTTGTTTGATCTCATGTAACAGAACGGCTGCAAATCAAGGGCTGCAGACAAAAGTTCACCAGTGTTATATTATATAGCTGTGAAGGTTGTCCTGATCACTAGCCAGCAAAACAGAAGGTCAGGGAGTGTCTACACTTTTGAGCAACTCCTTTTCAAGGTCTACATAATGGCCTGGGTAAGCTCGTGCTGACCTGGTGCCTTTTTTCTCTGGAAATTCATGAAGGAAGTACTCCCCAAGTTTTGAGGTTCCTTTACCTGTCAGCAGGGAGAGAGAGGACAAAGTGGGTTTACATATACTGAAGAAGAACCAGAGAATGTCCTGATCAAACTGCAGGGATCTCTGAGGTGCTTGTGATGCCAGGGATGTCCCAGACACAGGAATGCCTGCCCAATGGCCCTGGCCTTCCCTGCCAGAGAAACGGGGCCAGTTCTGTGAGAGCCATCAAAAGGGTTTGGGTTACAAAGTATATTGTTTTCAATCATTTGTTCCTGAAATTATTTAAATTCTCCTCCCCTTCCTTCTTTTCTCCACATGAACACAGCTTTGTGTATGTTCTAAGGAGCTGCCTGTTGTTATGATCAGAGTTTCTGAGCTGGCACATATTTTTACAGTGATTAGCAATTGTTCTCATAAGTGGTTAGCATCCTTTCTCTGCTTCAGGGGGGAAGAGAATAATTCAGAGTAAATCACAGATTTGTTTCTGATTAAACTTCCTGGTTGGGGCCATTCAATGACATCTTTTCCTTTCCATGCTCAATTAGATTCTTAAAATCCCCTACCTCTGATCCATACCATTGTTGTGAATGACAGACATGCATATGACCATTCCCGTGACTGAATTACTAGTAGCTTTATAACAACAGCAGCAATAATAATAATAATGTTGATAACAACAACAACAACAGTAAAGACGTTATCTCCTTGGGCTTTTTATTGTGATTATTATTGTTACCTTCTCTCTGGTTTGCATTAACCTGTACTGTTGTGATGTGGGGTCTGCAGGTAACGTAACCTTGCACTTTTTGGAGCACTGGATCCATCCATGCACAGAAAACAAATTCAGAGTCTTAGATCTGAGGAAAACTAAGGGCAGGGATTACATTTTTTTTCTTATGTCTTGTAAAGTGCCTATATAACATTGATTAAAAAGCCATAATAAGTATGCAACTTTCTCAGAATTTTTAAAATTCATAATTCTTTGCCCTATCATTTCTACAAGTAATGCTTGTACGCGAGCACTTCATTGTGCATTTTCAGCTGTGCTGGTTAGTTGTTCTGGAGTATTAAGGTTATTATGTCTCTTGTCCCCTCAATTATATTAGTGTCCTTTTCTGATTTTTACTGATAATACTCATAATTTACACATTAATTTCTCTTAATATATTGTAATTATTGCTTACAGTACACTGTTGCCATAAACATTCCTGCTAATCAAAGTATTTCTGTGAAAATTTTCAGAATCCTGACTCAGAGATGTGCACAACTGATGCAAACATCACATGGAAGTTTTTAATCACTCCAGTTGTGGAGGTAGCTCTTTCATTTTTCATTCAGCACATTTATATATTTCAGAAATATGAAAAAAATGGCAATGACAACATTCTTCACACTTTACTCTGAAAGTAATTACAAAACAAACCCAATTAATTAAGACTTAGAAGATTCTACTCACCACATACCTATTTTACTTATAATTTCAAATACTGACATGGCTGGCTCTATGAAAAATCTTATACTTTGACATATTTTTTAAATAATTAAAAATGTTCTGTTACTGCATAGCTGGAGAAGCAAAGGAGAGGAAATTCTTTTATTATTTATTACCAGCATATCCTTATGATTGAACAGTGACTATTTTGTGAAGCTATTTACTTTTCAATTGCTGCTAAATGTATTGCGGCACAGCAGCGTTCCAGACAGAGCACACATTTCCTCCATTTCTACCGAGGTATTTAGCTAGCAGTTCAATTTCCACATGATTAACAAGATTCTTACTGAGAAGCCACACTCTTGCCATTTACAGTTTAAGTCAAATTAACGTACTCCCTTTTACTGTAATGCCTATTAATTTTACTCTGACATGTCTCTTTCCCTCTTAAGATTATTTGTTGGTGAGTAGACAGGCTGTAGCACAAGAAGCAGCTCCATTTTTGAGGTACTGATATTCAGTTTTCTAAGTGGAATGGACACTAATCACTTATTCCTCTTTGCATGCTTCTTTGGTGCTGTGATTGCTGCTGGAGAATCTCCCCGAATCCCCCCAAATCCTCAGCAGATCATTAGCACGTGGCCTCCTGACCCTCAGTGCATACCATATGAACTACATTATATTGCCTCTGGTGCACCATGCAGTCTGTGATTCACAATACAGCATCATTTATTAGGTCTTACAGCATCAACTAACAAGAAATTCAGAAATAGAATACTTTGGCTTTAAAGCTGCTAGAGGATTGCAGTTATGTGTGGTCTAAGCTGCTCCCCCAGCAAATTAACAAAAGTCCCAAACATGAAGCTTTCAATTCATCTTTTAGTTCCCCTTTTAAACCATCTTTATCTGGACTATTGGTTACTGACTTCTCTTGCCTTAAAAACTCACTTGCAAATAAAGGAAGTACAGTCTCAAGAATGTGTCAGCTTAGTTCAATAAAAATTGGATGACACGAGTTGTTTTGTACCAGGACGGTATTTTGTAGCTGGCATCATAATGCAATGAAAGCTTGCTGCTTGGCAGAGCCATATGTGAACACATGAGCAATGCTTCCATGAGCTATAAATAGCACCTCTTAATCCTTGCATTGATCTTCATGTGCTTGCTTAAGGTTCACCTACCTATATTTGTATAGATTAATGTCATTTCTTTGATTTAAAATAAAATCAGCTATGTCCCAAAATAATGTTAAACACTACAATTCGTCATGATGTAACAGGCAGTTATTAAAGATAAGAGCTGTTTCCCAGACTAAAAGTAGACACAAAGACCTAATGGCCAGTTAGTCTCCTACTTTGAAGCTGACTATTAATAAATAAGCATTTTTATGTCCTCCACAGTATTCTTTTGCTGGCACACTTAGAAATGCCTTCTTAGTCCTGACATCAAGCCTGATCTGCCACCATTTAACAGAGAGATTGAAGACAAATATCTTCTATATTATAAATACTGGTTGTTGATCCAGTAAGGCCTAATCGAGATCAGCCTGAGCATATTGCTTGTGAGTTGAGTATTACCAGGAAGGGACTACACAAGTGAGTCTGGTTTGTTGCTGCCATCAGGATTCCCAGTGAGGAATCTGTTGTGTGGCATAAGGCTGATACTTGTGATTTGAGAGGGAGTTGGGCTACCTAATTAAAAATGGCCATTTAAACAGAAATAATGTAGTTGCTGACACAGGAATGTTACAATGTGGTGAAGGATCGTCAGTTTTGATACTGTGCTGCTGAAGGGACTGTCTTTCAGATGAAACATAAGATCAGAACTCTAGGAGTCTCATGTTGTCATAAGTATGAACCTCTGACAATTTCTGCATGGGAAGGAGTCTTAATTTTCATGTTTTCACTACTCCATTTTGCTTTCCTAAGTTTCACTGCAGTTTATGTAGGATATACATGTTTTTCAATCTTATTCTGACATCTAATATTGCTAAATAGTTAAATAGTTGTATGATTTTCTACAAGTGATCGCATCCATGTGCCTCATGATGATGTTGCCATTTATAAAACTCAGGAAAAAGAAAGAAAAAATGCTTTTGCAACATCAAGAAATGAATATAATTGAGTAAATGACAGGAAGCTGAGAGGTTACACATTCTGGTGACGGCAGCTTATCAACACCGCTTTCATGTAGCAGTTTGATTAGTAATTATATTGTTAAAGATACCCTGTTCCTACCTTCATTTTTATATTGCTGTTCTGGTGCATGTGAATAGACGGTGGTATTACATATAGTTGAAGTTGAAGTTCTTTCCCCTTCCTCCCCCACAAGAACACTTAAAGCTTTCAAGAAATGCATGTGTTAGTTTTTGAGGACTCCTGCTTTTAAACTGAGGGTGTTGTTTGATCAGTAAGATAGTTTGCTGTTTGACTTAAATTCTGACTTAAAGCCAAATTTTGAACTGTTTGCCACTGGGGAAGTCAATCAGTAGTTTTGGGCTGTGCTAATTGAGCAAGTTTTCCCTTTTTCTCTAGAATTGGTGTCAACTATACAAATAAAGTCAACAGGAATGCTGGGGATGTTATTTTCTTCATAAAGCCCAAAATAGAAGCCAGGATATTTCAGCACAGAGAAGGCAAGTTGGAATTAGAAGGATCTGTAGCTACTAGAAATAAAGATTTCTGATAAGGAAAGCATGGCATACCAGAATCCACATATTCAACACTATCATGGGTGGACTTGGGGACCTCCTCCGTGAGGAAGGGGAAAGGAACAATGGAGCTGGAAGGCTCACTCACTAGTGCTTCTTTCACAGGGCGAGAGATGAAAATGAAAGGACAAAACAGGTCCTTTTGAACAAACACTTCAAACATCCAGTTTCAGGGGTCTTTTATGCTACCAAATGCTCATAATTATTTTTTAAATCAAAAGTTGATAGATCTCAACACAACAGACTCAAACAGTGCGCCCCATACAGGTGAGCTGCTATGTGCCTACCACACAATGTGCCCTGACAGTTTCTACTCAGAAGCTGAAACAGGACTTGATTAACAAGCCTGGTGTAAATCAGTGGTGGAATATGCTGGCAGGGTGGTAAGGAAGAAGTTTCCCATATAGCGTTTGACTTTACAGACACAGGAACTAAGAAGCGAAGCTCGAGACACGAACCTTCAGCCTGCACTGTGGCAGCTGCATACAAATAAGCAGCCTATACATTTGAAAGCTTGAGAAGTAAACTGGCTGTGCATTGAAAGGTAGGCATTTGGAGGTGGTAAATTTAGCCCTGACTCATCCAATGGCAATTTTGACACTTGGGTGGACTAAATTACTTTTAGGAGTTGCATCATGTTTTTACCAGATAGTTTGATTGAGCATGATTTAACCCATTCATATACCTATGGCCAGGTTCTAGACCTTTCTCACTTGAAATAACTATGCAAGGATTTGTTTGTATGTAATGTATAGGACATAGATATGTTCTGGGTCATCAAGTTCCTTTCTGTCAGAGGCAATCATTCAATTAGTCTATTGCTTAAACTTATCAAATACTATCTTAAAACTGAACTCTTTTTTTTTTATTCATTACTTCTACTGTAAAAGACTTAGAAGACCTTTTACTGTTCATAGCTAAAAATCTGTTTCCAAGAGCTAGTGAAAGTTTCTTCACAGCTTTGTCCTTCACATTAAAGAGTTCTTCCCTCTCCCTGGTGTTAACTCCTCAAGTATTTACAGAGAGCACTCATATGCCAAGCTCTTCAGCCTCTTCCTGATGGACAGGTGCCCTGTTTCCTCAGCCACCTCAGCGGTCCTCCTTTGTATCGTTTCAACACGAGGGAATCAGAATCGTGCCCATTATTGCAGACGGGTGCTTCTACAACGGTGTTAATACATCCCGATGTACTACCAGAAAGAGCTTGCCTGGCGCGCTAGAAATGCATTTGTTGTTTTTCCCCAAGCCACACAGGATGATAACTCTCTCTTGCCAATGTCCTGGATTTAAATGCCCAGTAACTTCTAGGAATAATGGCTTTCATCTCTGTTTGCCTTGCACACAAGGCTTATTCCACCCTTGTTTGCGCACTGACAGTTTAGTGTTGATACTCATGTATAAACAAAGTTTGAAGACAGAAAAAAATGCTGATGGATAAATTCAAACGTATGCCTGATTTTTGTTATTTTTTTGACATCTAAACGGAAAAGGTGAGTTCGCAATTAAAACACTTTTAAAATGCTAATGTCCTTGTTCTTAATAACCCAGCTAAATTCTGACGCAAAAAGAGATGCATGATTTTTTTTCATGGGTTGTTAGAGAGACTCCTGCACTAGTCGGATCAAGGGAACCTCTCTTCCACCTACCGCCTTTCACGAAAATGGATCGCCTCCGAAAAGGCACCGCGCACACGACGGCATCCACCTGCCATTTCTTGCGGTTCAGTCAATAATTAACCCGGGAAGCCTCTTTCACAACGCTGAGTTCAACTGTTACAGCATCCACTTGGCATTTCGCCCGCGTCGTTCGTTGGCGGTTGCCGGAGGAGCCCCCCCCGTTCCCTGCCGCCGCCGTGCCGCCTCCCCCC